GCTATTTTGTAATTTATTTCGCTCATTGGGTCTATAATGATTTTGTAATAACAATTGGGTGTTAGTAAAATTGAAAAAATGAGTTTATTCTAATTTTTACATGAGTGGGTTGAAATCCAGCCTATAGGTGTATAATTTGCTCGAACATGTTCTGCTACTATGTGTGTAGATAACTTGCCTATAGGACTTGAGTGCTTAATTCATTTAACATATTCTGTTTCTACATGTTTGTTATATATCATGCCTATAGGAAATAAAATGACCAATGTTTCAATTTGCATTACAACATATTCATTAGATACTATGACCATAGGGTTATGTTAGTTTATGTTCTACAAATCTGCATTTTAGGAATCATGCATATATGGTTTTAATTGGTTAATGTACTGTTGTTATAATTATTCACTTACGAGACATGTCTATAGGAGCTAAAACCAGTTCAATCGCTAATTGTAGAAATCCTGCCTATAGGGTAATCCCACTCGCTTTTTAAGTGCTAATGTTATAATGCCAACACTTTCTCGTTGCTTAGCTCTGTTACTATTAGAAAGCATGCATATTGGATCAAACTGAGTAATTCTAAGTATTTCCAATGGTCGTCACTGCCAACTGCTGTGTAAATCATCTAGAAATCATGTCTATAGGCTGAATTACTTATAATCTGTAATCAGCATGCAATATCAGATTCCCTAAACTGTGTAGTTGTTTAGAAATCACGTCTATAAGATTGCACCTTGCATATGATCCTGCCTGCATGAGGTCACATAGAAATCATGTCTATAGGGCTTAGCGGCTTTAAGTTGGCTCAATTTTGAAATTGTCCAACGCTTAATGCCCAATTTGTTTGCGTGCATTTGTTGTCTAAGTGTGGAGGCTAACTTTAGCCCTTAATTGCTTTTACATGAAGTCCAACTTGTTTTGTATGTCGCCTAGTTTTCTCCTTTTGAACAACCTAAGTTAAGTCTAGAACCACCAAAATAGAGGTCCAAATGCCTTCTGGACCATAGGCAGGAGACGGGTAGTGCACACATAAAGCATGGTTTAGAATCAACTAGTACGCTTTAGGTAACAAATTAAAGATAGTAATCGGGTAGCAGGAGATGATAGTCTGTGTCCGCTGAATAATACGAGTAACACCCTATCTTGAAGGAGTTACGAAGTATTATTTATGTTGCACGGGGTGATCCTTTAGGCTAAAAAATTTAGGAACCCCCCTCCGTCTTTTCTTTAAATCAATTATTTGTGTTTAATAAAACTTCCCAAACTTCTTGATTTCTTTGTTTTTGTTTGTATGACTAATTTATATAATTTGAGTTCGGTTGGGACCCACAGTTGTGGACCTTGAAGAGTGCCTAATACCTTCTATTCGAGGTAATTTGAGCCCTTACCCGATCTTTGATGATGCAAACTGGTTAAACCAGAGTTATTTGCAAATAGGTGTCCTAACGCACCTCAAATCCATTAGGTGACAACTCTCTCTTTTTACACCTTCCTTAAAAGAGTTGTCACGTATCGAAACCCAATTTCGCAAGAAAAAGGAAAAGCGACAATGAGCCCGGGAGACCAGATTGGGATTGCCAAAAATTTTGCTGGCCATTCAAAAATGACTCAAAGAATAATAGTTAGCGCCTTGCCATGATCGTTCCTCGTTTTTAGCATTTTAGGGACATAAAATCGGAATTTCATCTGATTTTTAGATTTTCGTGTCCACAACCCACGCCATCTATATAGTTTCGGATGACTTGACCTAGATCAGCTAAAATTTTGCCGGCCCATAAAAATGACCTAAGGAACAATAGTCATCATTTCTCAATGACCGTTACTCATTTTTTGGTGTTTTAGGGCACTTGATTCTTAGATTTTTGTGTGCTATAGCTCACGCCATCTGTCTGGATCCGGCGATGGGACCCTGATCACGGAAAATTTTTTCGACCCACGAAAATGACCTATGGAAATATAGTCATCGCCTTCCCATGACTGTTCCTCATTTTTTGGTGTTTTATGGCCATAAAACATGAATTTCGCTTGATTTCTATATTTCGGTATGATATAGCCCACATCATCTGACATGGTTCGGGCGACTGGACCCGAATTGCCTAAACTTTTGTTAGCCAATCAAACACAACCTACTAAAAAATAGTCATCGCCTCGCCTTAACTGTTTCTCATATTTTTTGTGTGTTTTAGGGCTATATAACTGAAATTTTGCCCGATTATAAGATTTTCGTGTGCTATAGCCTAGGCCAATTGTATTGGCCCAGGCGATCAGATCTGAATTGCGAAACATTTTGTCGGCCCATGAAAAATGTCCTAAGGAACAATAGTCATCTCCTTGCCATGACTATTTCTAATATTTTGGCTTTTTAGAAGCATAAAATTAGAATTTCGCCTGATTCCCATATTTTCGTGTGATATAGCCCATGCCATTCACATGAGTCCGGACGATCAGACTCGGATTGCCTAATATTTTACTAACTCATTAAAAATGACCTAAGGAACAATAGTCATCCCTTCGCCATGATCGTCTCTCATTTTTTGGCATTTAGGGCCATAAAACTAGAATACCGACCGATTTTCACATTTTAATGAGCTGCCCACGCTATTTGCATAGGTCCGGGCGACCGGACACGGACTGTCTATAATTTTATCGGCCCATAAAAAATGACCTAAGGAACAATATTCATCGGCTTGCCTTGTCTGTTACTCATGCTTTCTTGTTTTTAGGCCATACAACTAGAATTCCACCCGATTCTCGTATTTTCGTGCGCTATAACCCATGCCATATGTATGGGTCTGGCGATCGAAACCGGATCACCTAAAATTTAGTTGGCTTAGCAAAAATGACTTAAGGAACCATAGTAATCCCTTTGCCATGACCATTCCTCATTTTTTGGCTTTTTAGGGCCATAAAACTAGAATTTCTCTTGATTCCCTAATTTTCGTGTACACAGCCCATGCCATCCACATGAGTCCGAGTGATCGAACCTGGATCACCTAAAATTTTGCTAGCCCATAAAAAATGACCTAAAGAATAATAGTTATCACCTCTCCATAAACGTTTCTCCTTTTTTTTTTGGTGTTGTCGGCCGTAAAACTGGAATTCCGCCCGATTCCCAAATTTTCGTGTGCTATAGACCTCACCATCTGCATGAGTTCGGACGACCGGACCCGGATCGCCTAAAATATTGTCGGTCCATACAAAACAACCTAATAAATAATAGTCATCACTTAGCCATGGTCGTTCCTCATTTTTTGACATTTTAGGATCATAAAACTGAAATTTCGCCCGATTTTCAATTTTCGTGTACTATAGCACAAGTCATCTGCGTGCATCCGAATGGCCAGACTCCGGTCTTCTAAAAGTTTTTTGACTCATTAAAAATGACCTAAGGAGAAATCTTCATCACTTCGCCATAATCGTCTCTCATTTTTTTGCGCTTTAGGGCCATAAAATTGGAATTCCGCCTGATTCCGAGATTTTCATGTGCTATAGCCACCACCATCTACATGCATCCGGATGACCAGACCTGAATTGCCTAAAATTTTACTGGCCCATCCAAAATGACCTAAGGAATAATAGTCATCGCTTTGCCATGATCGTTCCTCGTTTTTTGGTGTTTTAGCACCATAAAATTAAAATTTCGTCTGATTCCCAGATTTTCGTATGCTATAGCCTACGCCATTTGCATGCATCCGGACGACCAGACCCAAGTTGATTAAAATTTTGCCAGCCCTTCAAAATTTACCTAAGTAACAATAGTCATCACTTCGCAATGACTAGTTTTCGTTTCTTGGCATTTTAGGGCCATAAAATTTGAATTTCGTCCGATTCTCAGATTTTCGTATGCTATAGTCCACGCCTTCTGCATGCATCCGGGCGACCGGCTGTGAATCGCCTAAAATTTTGTGGGCCTATCAAAAACGACCTAATGAACAATAGTCATTGATTCGCCATGATTGTTGCTTATAATTTGGCGTTTTAGGGCCAAACTATTGGTTATCTGTTGTCCATATGACACATATCAAACACTATTAAAAATCAATGGGCAAAATAGTACCGGAGGGGATTCAATCCCATTAAAGTAAACCACATTAAATGAAAATAAATTATCGCCCAAATCCCTTGAATTATGAGCAAACGAAAGGTATAAAGCAAGTCATGTACTTTGGAATATGACATTAGATTTAAATATGGTGCACAAAAGGATTCCATTATCAATCTAAATCTCCTTTCTCCTATAAGACTGTTGGGAATCAATTCTTTTCTTTTCATGACCTTATCTCTTCAAAATAAATCTATACTCTTTTAATTATGTCCTCGATTTAGAAATCACCAATTTTATTAATTTGCTAAGAATAAAACTGTTAAAACATAAACAAATAATTGACTACCTACTTTTTTTAATTTAAGGATCGACTAATTTATGTGATATTATTTTTTTAGTTCGTATATAATGGAATAACGTATTTTTATATTTAAAATAATTTAACTTTAATCGTCTTATTTATTCTCAGTGACATGATTTTATAGTCACATAAATATTATAGTATATTTAAGACTATAAATTTCAAATGTCACATAAACTGAAAAGGATGGGGTATTTGATAATTCCATTAAATAACTAGTAAATATCTTTTAAATTTCTTGATTAACAATTTTAATGACTAGGACAATTTGATTTGTAAATGAGAATTAGATTCTCAAAAATTGCCCTATTATGCTTTTAGTTCCACCATACACGTGTTGGAATGAGGAATAACATTTCTGTTTAGCTACTTTTTAAATAGTATTTTGATTCATTTTTTATATCACTTTTTTTTTTTTGCATTTTCAAAAGCTGCGCCTAAATTTAATTCAAAATCTAATTGATTTTCATTGTTCCATTAGTGTTTTCCTAGCTAGCACATTGGCTGCACTTAGAAAAATTCTTTTGCCAAACTTTTAAAGATTCTTTGGACACTTAAATACAAATCTTTATAAATAGCCCTTAAAATCCTTTACTAACTCTTAGGTAGAACTAATTTTACAAAAATAGCCATGAAGGTTCTTGTATTAGTTTCATGGCTTTGCCTCATTATATTCTTGCAAATTTTGCCATACTCCACTTGCAAATTCACCCCAAAATCCACAAATCATGAACTTATCTTCCCTAATGAAAACAAAGAAAAGAGTAAGTTCTTCTTCTTTTTAATTGTTTTTTTAGAATTTTGATTAGTAACCACTAATGCTTGCATTATGGTAGGTTGTCTACATTACACCCTTTGAGGTGTTGTCCTTCCCCGTACGGTCGTACCCTACGTGAATGTGGAATGCTTTGTGCATCGGTCTGGTATTTTTTATTATCATACATGAAAATATTTTCAACTAATACTAATGTATGTCTTCAAAATAATTTTTTGGAACATGATTATTTAATAATAACTGCCTATTAAGTAACCATAATCAATATTAAATCGAAACAAACTATGTCCTTATAAATAAACATCATTTTGATTCAAGATCTTCTCTACAAGAGTAGCTTCATGTTTCATCATTTGGTTAATTCTTGAATTTTTCTTGGCTTTCCCATATTTAATACTAGTGTAAATTACTTATAATTAACTAAATGAATTGTTTGCAGTTGCAAATAATGAAAGAAAGGATGTGCATAAAGTTGTTCATCAGAGAAGAGGAGTATATGGTGGAGCAGACCTTCTTCGCAAAGGACCTAAAAAGAATGGAGCCAATTATATATTTGAAAAGCCAATTTTAGTGTCTTCTTTCTTCTTGTTTCTTTTTGTTGCCTTCACTCTCTAAGATTTGCTATAGTTATGATAGTTGGAAAAGATTGGTTTCTCTCTCTTTCCCTTTTTAGATATATTCTCATTTTTTTTATTGAGGTTATAGCATTTTTTTTTGTGAACTTTCAATCAAATAATTCTCTAATTCATAAACATTTGTATGAGAAAACATTTTTTATGACGAAGAAATCCGTCTGGAGCCGACCAGAGCATTTGAAACTCAGGGATGATAGGGCCACCCCTCTACCCTCCTTCAGTTAACTACCAGAATTAATTCACGTTGGCACACAACTCGAAACTGTGACTTATGACACAATTACCTCAACCTTTGCCAATTGAGGAATTTGTCTTCTTAGACTATATTCAAATATATCACAAGAACATAATACAAGGATAAATTAGATTATTCCAAAGTGCAAGAACTATAAAGAGATGACACAGAAGCTACACTTGTCAAACAATAAAGAGGAACTAAATGAATCTCGAGCAGTGGCGGAGGCAAAATTTTCGCTAAAAGGATTCAAAATCTTTGTGAGGTTGTTGGTCCAACCCATCGACCAGTAAGTTATGCTTTCAGGCTATGACAAAGGGATTCAAAATATAATATGTAAGGGCACAAAATAAATTTTGCTTTATATATATAATGTAATTTTTCGACGAAGGGGGTTCGGTGCTTCCGCCCCACTAAATCCTCCCTCAAGTCTTCGTGCAGCAAAAAGGGAAGTAGATAATGTATTAAAAGTAAAATTAAATCCTCCTCCCTTAGTTTCATTTTGTTTTTCACTACTCTCTCCGTCCCAATTTATGTAATATTCTTTCCTTTTTAGTAATCGAGTTTCATGCCATCATGTCTTTCTGCCCGATACATGATTGGTTAATGACGATTCTCAACAGCATTTGTAAGATCTCGAGGCTTACTAGACGGAATTCGATCAAAAATGAAAACTTTGGATATTTTTCTTTTTTAGTTAGTCAGAAAAAGAATGACACGTTTCTTCCTTAAATTTTGTGGCAAGTCAAACTATGCCAAACTAGGCCCCGAATGCATCTTAATGTATGAGTATCTCTATTAATTGTTAAAATTTGTTTACAATTGACTTTTGAGATATTTCTTAAAAGTGATGACTTTTGTTAATATTAAGAGTGGATTGATTCACAAATAGCCGGCCGGATTTAATATTTACTCTTTCTAGTCAGTATAATTAGATTATACATTGATTATACACAGTAATACATATATTTTATATAAATTTTATACATACATACATACATATATACATATATANATGTATATATATATATATCACATCTATCGGTTATTTTTAGTTTAAGAGATCACGCGGGGGCTATTGGGTTAATTCTTCTTTTAAGAATTGATGGATGGAATAGTGATATTTTAAGAATTCAAAGACCATTATTTTCTAAGTATTTCATGAAAAATTAGGAAGTAGAATATTTGATCAAGACTGGTTTTAAGAGACTTGAGAGGATTACAAGCAACGAAAAATTAACATAAACATATATAAGGAGCTAAAATAGTTTATATTATAGCACTTAACAAATTTGTAAAAATTCTATACGGTTTTTATGGTCTAGAGACGAATGGCCATAACAATAATAGCACTACAATATTGTTCCAACGAAAAACTAGCTTGTTGTAGCTTCTCATCTTCAACCACTGAATGTTCAAAAAAGCTACCATCACATGTCAATAAATCACCAATTGAACGACTCATAAAATGGACAACTTGTCCACATTTTTTGGCCTCGAAAAAACCCTCAGCATTTTCCCTACTTAGTTCTACAAATGCATATTGGTCAATACACTTTGAGTATACTCCTTTTAGTGTTGCGTTCGTTGCGTTATCGCGAAGAGAAATTACCAGAGCGGATGTTGAGTCGATAAGTTTGGATGTCAAGTTGAATGTGATGGCGCCTAGGGTTTCAAGATCTGCGGTTTTAGAACGAGGATCTGATCTTATAAGTGTCTCGCAAAGAGTAGCATTGGGTGTTTTGGCGCAAATATCACTAACTAAATCTCCCTTCACGGTTGATGATGTGAAGAGAATGGACAGAAGAAAAGATACAAGAAATGAGGTAATAATGAAAGAAGCCATTTAATTTCTTTGCTTAATTTGCAAAGGTTATGATGTAGTGACCCCTATTTATATTGGAAAAAAAGATACTGTGAATTTAATACACGCCTATCTTATAATCAGATTAATTTAGATCTTTGAATTGCAAATGCAGGTTTTGATCATCTATGAATAAATGTTGTAAGAAGAGAAAGACAAAAATAAATTGTCAAATTTCAAATGGTCAACAAAACATTTAATATAGTCTGTTGAGCAAATGTTACTGCCTCCGGTACAAATATTAAATTAAATTGAAACACAAGACCGAAGGAAGAATATATATAGAGAGAGAATATTAAGGCTTTCAATTTTCAAACAAATTAATTTTAAGCTACACATATATAAAATAAAATCTCCTCGTTTGAGGCATCTATCGGTGAACCAAGGACCACCAAGAACTGTGGTGAGATGAATAGGATTCTGTTAGGTTTGAAACCAAAAAATAAAAAAGATCCTGGTAAATTTAAAAGGTCTTACGCTTTACGAATTCAGATTAGTCGGACACCATTACAGGTACCAGACATCGGGTAGAATACCAAAAAGGAGAACCAAGAAAATAATATTTTGACACGACCAACACATAAAGTAACTTCGTTCTAATCAATTTACATTGTTGTAAAATCAATACATCGTATAGTACCCGCTACAAGAAATACTGAAAATTTTGAAGGATTTTATCGGTAGCAAAAGTACCCCCAAAAAATTTAAAGAGCTTTCATCGAAATATGAGAATATAATTTTTTGAAATATTATTACGTATTATTATTGACAGAAAATTTGTCAAAAGTAGACGAAGTTAATTGGCGGCGCCATTAAGTGGCTGAAATAATTTTCTAGTGAAATCGTCGATAAGAAGAATAATTTATTAAATAAATTTTAGAAATACTATATCAACGGGATTTTTCCAATTATCGGACAACATCCCATAAATGATCTCCGGTCGTCGAAAATTTTGATAATTATTTAAACGCTTTTCTTCTCCATTTTCGTATGCTTTACATTGTTCAAGATTAAATAACTCAATGAATTATTTTTACCTTAAGATCGCAGGTTCTAGTCATAAAGGGAGCAAAATGGGAAGCTAGTGCG